ATTTATTTATTTATTTATTTATTTATATGTTTATATTTGATTACAAATATACCTCTGAATGAATATGTATTTTTTCAGCTCACTGCTCAAGAAGCTGCCGCTGACGAGGCCATCGAGCGCTTGTATCTAAAGTGCCACCATTTGGAGCAACAGTTGGCGGCCAGCCAAGAGGTTATTCCTGCTAACCATGGCAACCTATACGACCTCGAACATGCTCCCAAAAGCCCCTGTATAGACGGTATGCTTGGCAGCGGATCACTGAAGGTCAACCACAGTCCAAATCATAACCAGTTTGGCCACCAAAATCAACACAGCATCCATGGTTTAAGGAATTCTTGCCATCCTTCCTTCTTGCAAGCTGGAACCGGTGAACAAGCCCCTAATGAGAAGATGACGAATCCCTGTTCTGAGGATCCAAACCTGTCGAATACAGTTTCTAGTTTAGCCTCTCTGGAGTCTCGGCTCACTCAGCTTGAAGTCATGTACTCAGCCCTTAAAAGCCTTTATCAAACCTCTTTGAAAAGGTGAGGCTTGCTGGTCATTTATTTGGTTTATAGGTCAAGTCTAGGCATCTGCCTTCAATTACTCATCATATGAATTTATAAAACTCTTCACTGCTGAACTTAATATCCTCTATTTGTGTCTCCGAGCCGTAAAACTTTCTTGCTTTAGCATATTAAGCTGGTTTTAGAGCATCGAATCTAACTCCTACATAAAGTAGTGTTAGATCAATTACACTTTGCTTGACAGCAATGAGGAGTATTCGAGTTATTCACTCATGCTAATGCCATTGCACTCGGATTGTTGGTGCCGAATAAGTGACTTACAACTTGTTTGGTGCTCACCATGACGACCTAGGTGGATAACACTTTGGTCTGATGTGAGAGAATAATACTCAGTGGGTGTTCGGTGCCAAGTGTTAACACAGATGAAGTTAATGGTCTAAAAGCCGAAATCATCTGTCTAAAGCTATCCGTAGCTCTCTTGTCTTATACCCATATAAAAAGTTGACACTAATAACAATGAATTAAGTCTGTCTTAAAAATAGTTTAGCTTTTTGTTACAAAAATGAGA